GTTTCATATTTTTTAAGTTGGCTCCTTTTACAGTCGACTATACGGTATGGATTTTTCTCATTGATGAAGGCCGTACGGTTGTTCATTTTTGTTTGAACTGTTTTTCAAAGTCAATGCCTTATATACTAGTATCTGATAATACGGTATGAGTTTTTGCTTATTGTTGACGACAGCACGAGCCACTGTAGTCGTTATTCAAACCAATTGGACTCTGTTTGATAGTTTGACGCTCCATACGGATCCAGGTATATACATGTCGGAGTGTGAGGAATAAATCGAAAAAAGAATGCATGCTAAGCATACTAATGCTTTTGAAGAGAAAATTGAAAATATTTGTTGAACGGACAGACTGGCAGATGGACACACAAGACAGGGTGATTGTAATTTGAATGCGGGTACAATATTTTGTCAGTGTATGTATCTTAGATGCTACATGTAGTGGTAAGGAAGTCTGGATCAAAACGGGGTAATCTTTACTTTTAATTTTTTTTTATACTATTTAAAATGATAATTGCATGCCTACTGGATATTAATACAATAGCAAGTCACAAGGATAATTGAAGCTGTGCTTTTTGATATAAAGAAACAAGGAGAAAAATCAAATAAATTATGCAAAAAAAAGTGTTATCAAAACAAAACAAGTGTTGCTAGAATAATAATATATGCACATAAAACATAAAATATATAAACAGAATTTTTATTAAATATGGGATTGACTGGTACATGTAGCAGGCTAGCCTCGATTACGGGTTCAATTATTTTGTTGGACCCCCAGATCAAATGATTTTACGACTAAATTTTATGGTTCTTAACCAAGCATAATGCATTCACGAGTAAGAGCATGTACTGGTTTAATCGAAGAAAGACAAGTGTGTCTTTGTATCGGGTACGCTATCTTGTTACCTAGCATATAAATATGCGACTGTAAGTGTTGGTAATGTACAAAAAGGTACATTCATTTATCATCATTATTTCATCATCCTTGATATATATGTAATATTTGTCGCTGGATATAAGACATACATCATTATCATCATCATCATAAGTATTATAGCTTGAGGCTAAATCTTCGTCGAATGTATTATGGCTTGAGGTTTCTTCGTCGTAAGTATTATAGCTTGAGGCTAAATTCTGATAGTTTAGCCAATTTATGTCGAGAACTTATTTTACGCATGCATCTCTTTGCTACATAGTTTTTATAAATGTCCAAGTTAAAGCCAATAGAGATCATAGATGTTTATCAAATGATCATGTCTACTCACAATTAAAACAGTAAGAAAGGGGTTAACTCGTCCGACTAAAACGAAGCACAAAAACAGCAATTACTAGTATTTCCAAATAAACTCCATGAATCGAACTTAGAGTATTCACAGTTACTGAACACTATCTTAAAACAACTACAACTAATAAATACAGAATAATTATCCAGTCTAGAATATTAATCAATTATTTCGTACTGTTACACCACTGTCCCAAGTAAGTGGGCCCGCTAACATGTTTAACCCCGCCACAGTATACATGGGTGTGCCTGTCCCAAGTCAGGAGCCTGTAATTCAGTGGTTATCATTTGTTGCTGTGCTTTCGTTCATTTTTTTGTACGTTAATTAGCCGTTAGTTTTATCGTTTTAGTTGTTTTACATTTGTCATTTTGTGGCCTCTTATAGCTGACTATGCGGTATAGGCTTTGCTAATTGCTGAAGGCCGTACGGTGGACTATAGTTATTAATTTCTGTGTCATTTGGTCTCTTGTGAAGAGTTTTCTCATTGGCAATCATACTACATCTTCTTTTTTGTACATACCACAAATTAAGTATAAAAAGTACACAAAACAGTCAAGACCTTTTGTCATGTCAAAAGCACAGAGTGTCTGTATGACATAACTGTATAGCAAATTATATGTAGTTTCTATAAAATGTAATGATAATTTATCGACAAAAGATACATGATGATTTGTAAGTGGAATTATATATAACTAAATAAATAAATATTTATATTAAAAGAAACATCATAAACAAGAATATGTGTCCATTAGGTTACACGTCAGTATCACATTTTCGTGTTAAGTGAGCTCTAAATCCAGGAAAAATTCAATTCAGTATGTAGTCTGAAACTTTGAAATCTCATGCGAGATGTCTAATGTTCAAACATTGTTGTTTTTAAAACGTATTTATCAAAGTCAAACGACAATCATTTATTTTTTTTTGGTGCTATACAATTTATGATTATAGCAGGATCCAAGATATTTGAAAGAAGGCGTAGTTCCCGATAATTGAATTTATACTGCCGAGCTGAGCGATGCGAAAAAAAAATGGACGATTTTATACTAAAAATGTGTATAGATAACGTGAAAAGCGTGAGATTTTAAAATCTATTTGGCGATCAAAAGGGGGGAGTACGCCCTCTACCCATGTATCCGCGAATGCACGTTAAAGTATACATGGACAAACACCTCGTCCCATGCATTATTATAGTTAAAGACGAAAAAGTACTCTTTGATAAATGTATCAATGATATGATTTTTTGCCCACGTCAAATTATCTTGAATTAAATTATAGAAAAATAATTGTTTTTAAAAGTTAGTCGCGTACACCTTTTACATTCGGGTGTGTTTGGATCTACTTTTTAAACGTTAAAACTTATAAAAACAAAAAAAAGAAATAACCTTCTCGCTTCGGATTTCATTATTTTAATATTGTCATGCTAAATATTTACTTGGAAGTTTTTAAAATTCATATTTTGAGAAGAACTGAAATATGGGTCAAGTGAAATGACAAGAAACGATGGGTGTATTTGATTACAAGTTGCTAACTTACTTATTCCCTTAACATATTTTTGTCAATAAAATCATTCAAAATTTAATAACAAAATATATAAAGATTAAAAAAAGTAGTTGGGTTGATTTTTACATTAAGTCTATATCAGCAAAAAATGCGTGGTCAAAGAGCAAACAATGCATGCAGTGTATGCTCCCCTCCGTCATGCTTCAGTGCAATAGGACGAAATACGTTAAGTTAGGTCGGATATGTCGAGTAAAGTCATTTTATTGGAAATCTCTAATGATCCCAACCAATTGTACTCAACTTATGATGATTTTGCACTTGTGCATTTTATATTCATTCGATGCTTTATATCGGCAAGCCAATCCTGTACACTTGAATAACATAAGAATCAAGAGAATGATTTATAAGCAAAGCTTATCGATTTTGGAAGTTATTATAATCGAACAAGTGAATGACTTTTACTGAATTAAAGCAAAAAAGGAAAAATAATTTTACATGTATCCAATGATAAGCAAATGGGTTATCAACTGAAAGCAACAAAGATCGACTAAATATGAGAGGACTATCCGATAGACCTCTGTAGATTTAAACCAGACATTTAACACAAAACCATATTTATGCCGATTATGATGATGGTGAGGCTGAAGATGATGATGATGATGATGATGATGACGAGGAGGAGGAGGAAGAAGAGGAGGAGGAGCAGAGGAGGAGGGGAGGAGGAGCAGGAGGAGGAGGAGCAGTAACATAAGGAGGAGGAGCAGCAGCAGCAGGAGCAGGAGGAGCAGGAGGAGCAGGATTTATTAAAACAGCAAAAATGATGAAAACATATTATCCACTGATCCTCGAAGGAAGATGCTGAAGATACCAAAGGGATTTTCAAACTCATAAGTGTGATACAAACTGACAACCCAATGGTTAATGACGAATAAAGGATCAAAGACAAACTACAGTCTACAAAACTCAAAAGAAAACAAAAGAACATGTGGAAAATATAATATTGTGTTATACTCTTGTAGGAAGCTTGATTATAAAAAAAAAACAACATTTGAATTTTTTTTTAGAGTATTCAATTTGTTGCATATGAATCAAGCCGTTCAGCATATAAGGAAAATGTTTTTCTGTTCAGATAGATGGCAGATCCTTGCTTGTTTGACCTTAAGGTCAGGTATCTTGTATATTGTACATATATTTCCGGTTCGATAAGATAAGATTAGAAAGATAACATATTGGTTATCAAAACCCCCAGTCAAAGAAAGACAAACACAACCGCGGCTATACAGAAAAACACTCTACTACGAGATTATTTAACAACCTTTAACAACAGTCGGCAAAACACTACTGAAAAAAAAACGATAGAGCAGAAAAGACCTCCCAAAAGTGGGAAGAAACTAGTTTCCCTGGAAAGGCAAGCAGTTCCTGATAACCTAGTTGCATCCGCCAAAGGAAGGGCTTTTGTGTACAACAACTCGAATATATCCATGTTTGTCGGTGGCACAAATACACTGTAATGGTCAGTCAATTAATAATTGTCGTCCGTAAAACGTTTGAGACACATTAATCATGAAGACCCATTGTTTGTTAGCAGTAGTCCTCTTACCAAAATAAATTAAATTTGAGATTAATATAACTCAAACAAACTCTATTTTATATCATGGTTGCTGGATATCTTAATAATTCTATCTAACTGAAATATAACCATCCTCTTAATCATCCTCTTATTTGTCATTTCTGAAGATCAGTGTTCATCAACACATTAATGAAAATCAAGAAAAAAGAATAAAACCGTTAATTACCCACAGGATGATTTTTTTTTTTAAACAGCTGTCTTGAAGGGGTTTTAAAATGGTAAATTCTTTGGTGAGGTATGAGTAAATATAAAAGAGAATCGGATGAGTTAAATGTTTTTTGTTGTTGTTGTTAATTGTACTGAGTTCATAACTTGACAGTTGTTTTCTATTCGTGTGATGTGTTTGAGCTTTTGTTTTGCCATTAATAAGGGGCTTTCCGTTTTTTAATTTTCCAGGGAGTTCAGTATTTTTTTGTTATTTTACTTTTTGCTTTATCAATAGAACATTTCAAAGTTATCATTTCCATTTGGAAAAGAGGATATAGTGTTGATGTACATGATATATTATGTATATAAATTGATAAATGAAGCGACCAAATCATGCATATAAATGAAAAATACAGATGTTTAATAGTTACACTTCAGCATACCTTCTGTTCTTGAAGGTTGAAATGACGATACATATCCGTTGTGAGTGACAGGTGTTCTCTCCACTTGATCTCCTGAAAAATAATTGTTTTGATTTACATAATGAATTTTATTGATGAATACTCATTTTTGTACACGAGATTCTTTCAAAGGTTTTGACCAAGTTTAAACCAGCTAAAAATGGATAGGGTAGTTTCATATATCAAATATTTCAAATGTTGCTAAAATGATCGATAGGATCTGGGATTGTTACCAAACTTTTTCGAAAGATAGAAGAAGCAAAGGAGAATACATATTTCAATCCAAAAGAACAACCGGCAACGTTGCATAACATTATTAAAACAAATTACTAATCAACTTCAATGAACAGACGCTCAATTTAATGGAAATGGAATATATATAAAGCAATCATTGATTAAGATGAGTATTGTGCAACTTTAGATAAAAAAATCAGTCACATACGTTAGTGGCAACAAACATCATAGGAAATACATATGCAAGCTTCCCGGTTTTTGTTAGCCATAAATCAATACTTACTTCTACATTCATTGCAGGACCAGAGGCATTGGGATGTATTTGTGAATCGGTAACATATAAATAGGATTTATCCATACGCGGAATAAAATAGAAATTTACATCTTAGCAAGTAGCTTTGTATGGTGGATGCTAAGAGAGACATATTGCTCAATCAAAGAATAGCGTAAAAAAGACACTTGGAAGAGCTGAAGTCAACATGAATATTAACCAGCCTCTTGTAAGAGAAATAGAAAGAATTAGTTTAAATAGTGAATGATGCACCACGTACATATTTCTCATCGCATAAAAGAACATGCGAAACTTTTATCACGACTTATCTTTTGTATGGAGGAAGAATATAATGCTGTCCTATCCACAAAAAGAAGAAGTGGAAATCAACGATCCGGCCTATATGAACATAAAGCACTCAGCAAACGTGCACTTAAGACGAACTTTTACTGATATAACACTTCTGAATCAGATGGAAGTTGGAGTATCTAACTTGATAAAGTGAATTGTACGAAGCATAAAAAAAAACCAACAATCTATTTAAATTGGAGACCTTATTCAATTCCAATATGAATCGCCTAGAAAGAGATAATAAGAAATAGTAAATAGTAAACAGCACCGATACAGACAAGAAATGACGAGATTATTTAAATCGTAAAACAATTATATTGACAAAGATGGATGCTACAATCTATTAAAATCACGAGCAACGCGATGACACAACACACGGAAGTACTCGATCGAAACGAATAGAGAATGTGAAAGCATCCATTAAGATATGGAAGTCAGTTGCCAATGTAGATAAACACGATGAAGAAGACTACCAAACTGAAAAGACTTTCGTGGTGAACATTTTTTTTTATAGCGAACAAGAACTTAGTTACCTTACTTTGATTTTGTACTACTTTTGTTGTTTATATTTCCGATAAGAGCTTTCTGTTAAATTTTCCGAGGAAAATGATTGCTTAAACCTAGTTTTATAGCAAGCTAAACCTCCCACTTGTATGGAAGTTGTTAATAGTTCCGATGAGAGCTTTCTGGTAAATCTAAAAAACCTTTACTTTCGTTACTATGTCACTAACTAAAGATTAAAATGAAAACACTTTAAAAAATGTTCAGGAACTTATAAATTGATTTAAGAGGTTTCAAGTGTATAATAACACAATAATGTGCGAATCGCCTAAGACAGATGGTTATAGTTCCATTATATTGACAGAATTTGGGGAGCAACTCAAACAGACATATGTCAAGATTGTCGCAGAAAAAATACCTCTTTTAAACTGTACTATCCATTGTCGATGTCACTGACGTCGCCTGGTGGTGTGCATGTGGAGTTATGACCGAACAGACGTGTTAGTTTTTTAGCTTATTTTTGACAAAATTTAACCAACTACAATATTTTTCATTAAAGAAAGTAATGTGTATGCCTTAATTCTGATTTGATGATGTGTCAAAGGAGAAAAAAAAATGTATCAAAAAATGGTGCAATTAAAGTTTCAACAATTAAAACAGAACAAGGATATACTAAACACATCTACTATGTTATGATGACTCATTACAAAGTATTTCAGTTGACCTATATATTTGGTTTTCTAGTAATACAAATTTTGAATATTATTTTAGCAACATTAAGCTTGAACTAAAATGAAAGTAATGGAATCTAAAGCGAAAAGATGTATCATCTGTTTTTGAATTGTACATGGGAAAGACAAACATGACAAAGCAGTGGACTTAAACTTTATTGAATGTAAAACATGTACATGACTTTGTTTTCATAATAAGTTTGAATGTTACACATTTTCATGACTGTTTGTCAAAATACTGTTGACTGGGACAGAGATATAAATAATACATTTGTACTCTCAACAAACAAATGTATTGTTTTCACACGGAATATTTTCATTGGAAGTTATTGATATCAACTTCAAGATTCAACAGTCTTTGTTAAATCATTTGTTTTGTGACTATTTGCCTTTAATTCCAAAGGTGAATTATATCTTATGTATCAATATTAAAACAGTTGGAAATAATCTAAAAATGCCAACTTGGTCGTTTTCTTAAATTCTATACTACTCAAAGAAAGTTTTGAAACACTTCCATGGATATAAGTAGGGGTCAAACTTTAAGGGCTCACATCTTTGTAGAAAAAGCTCAAAATGATATGATATTAATAGGATTCCTATAAAAAAATATGATAAAAGTCTGGAGGTAAAAGAGTGCTTCTCCCAATTAAAAAATGATTTTGCGAGGGAGATGTTCGTTTCTGTTTATATGCAATCAATTGATTTTTGGTCGACGCCATCAAATCTCATCAAAACTACCTGGCCTTTAACTGTATTAGGAATACGATATCCGGTACTTTTCTATCAGGTTACAGCATGAAGGAGTATACAATTTCCTGCAATTTTGTACATTGGAAAGGACAAAACCTTCTAGAGTTTTGGTCATTAGGCCCAAGTTCAAGGTCACTGTTATTACTAATATTACAATTATATTAAAAAAAAAGGATTTCAGTTAATAACTTTGAGGTTCCGTTGTTAGTTTTATTTGAAACTAAGATAGAGAAATTTCCACCATTCAACTTTACAACGTATAGCTTCAAAAAAAAAAATTGAGAATGGAAATGGGGAATGTGTCAAATAGACAACAACCCGACCAAAGAGCAAAAAACAGCCGAAGGCCACCAATGGGTCTTCAACACATCAAGAAAACCAAGCCTATATACTATATAATAATCATGTCGTAAATTATAAGGATCTAAAATAACACCGTGTTATATTAGGTTCACATAATGTTTTCTCAAGTCTACATAATGTAGTTTCAAGTCATCGTTTTATATGATAAGCCTTTCGTTACATTATAATTATATAAGATCTTCCTTTCTAACCTGAACACACCGCTTCGGTGGTCTTGTGGTAAAGTGTTCGTCTTGAGTGCGGAAGGAAGGAAGTGGGTTCGAAATCCAGGCTTATTCAAACCAAAGACTTTAAACTAGGTGTTTGCTGCTTTTCAGATAAGCATGCGACATTAAGAAATAATAATAAAGACCGTTTGGTTCGGATTCAGAATAATGTGCCGGGTAGGGTGATATGTCTGACTGCGGACTGTTACCTTGTGGACTAGTACGTAAAAAATCATTGCTATTCATATCGCATCAACATGTTCTCGTTCTAGATTTGCATATAGACTTGACGTTAGACAGCCATTCATCAGCATCATCTTTCCATAACATGATTTATCGATATTTTATGAAATTTTCCTTTGATCTTACGGACTGCTAATTTCCTTTCTCAGCACAGTTAAGTGATATGAAAAGTTATCGCTAAAAACTAATGGCGCACGTGCCGTTGGCAATATAAAAATCAAAGTCGTCATAGGCAAAATAGCGATAAACAGATTATCATTGGTCATCTCAACTCGATTGCTTTTCTCACTTTCGCCGTACCGGCTCAAACGAGAAAATCAATCTCGTTGAGATGACCAACGATAATCTATAAGTATCTGAACTTAACAATGTATAGTTTCAAGTCAACACACTGTTCGGTAAGTCTATCATTTTAGTATGATCATATGTTATGTTGACATATCTTATCATCATATATAGTAATAAGAAGATGTGGTATGAGTGCCAATGAGACAACCCTCCTGCCAAGTCATAAAGTTAACAATTATAGGTCAAAGAAAGGCCTTCAACACGGAGCCTTGGCACACACCGAACAGCAAGCTATAAAGGGCCCCAAAATATTACTAGTGTAAAACAATCCAATCAGGAAAACCAACGGTCTTATCTATTTAAAAAAAACGAGAAAAGAGAAACACTTATGAACCACATCAACAAACGACAACCACTGAACAACAGGTTCATGACTAAGGACAGGTGCAAACAAATGCAGCGGGTTTAAACGTTCTAACAGGCGCCAACCTTCACCCTAACCTGAAATAGTAGTGTAACATAACGACATAGAAAGACACACTATAACCTTGGACAAAATTGCTTTAAACAAAATAACGTACATAGGTAAATATAATAATTTTGTTGTAAGGAGTACATGGAGTACGGAAATGGTGTTCACAAAATAAATAAATTTGTTGTTCATACTACGAGAACAGAAGTGAAAATTTATCGTCATACTAAATACGTATCAAATGTGGTACGTATTAAAAATAGTGAGACGAGATATAACACAAAGTAAGTAAACATTGAATAACAAAAATGCATTGAAAATTGTGTCAACAGGTCAAATTAACACGAAAGTACGATTAGAGAGTACTCGCAGTTACTGAAAGCTAGTTAAAATCCAAAAAAACAATAATAAAAAAATCATGCATCAGACTATAATAAATTAAAACTCATCCTAGGGATTTAGTGTTTAACGGCATGGACAGTCAAAGAAGACATGGCTTGTGCAATGCCAAAATAAAAGTAGCCAGAGGAAGTAGGATATTTAGGATATAACCTGATAATAAATATGTATAATGTTATATATAGATAAAGCAATCTCTATATAGAAAATGAAAAATCATGTGCTTTCAACTTTACATCGTGTAGTTTCTAGTAAACATTCTATACGATAAGCCTATCCTGTTTTACTGATATAATTCGTTCTATCTTAACCTGCCATTTTATTTCAAAGTCAACATTATAAAATTCAAGCGCTTTATATTAATTTGTAACCATAGCAATCGAGGTCGATGACTGAGCATTTCCTAGTTTCAAGTAAACATTATGTAATGTTAACTCAACATAAAATAGTTTCAACTCAACGTAACGAGCATTTCACTACAAAACCATGGCTAAACATATTTAACACTAGCATTTGCAAGTTAAAATAACACAGTTTGAATTAAGAATATTTTAATTTAGAGTGAGCATTTTGATTACTCGGTTTTCTTTTTTGCGGTGTCAATTTTACAATAAACCTTTAGCATAACATTTTGTAAGTTTAAATATATGACGGCTGATTTTTTCCGTAGAAATACAAAAGGACAATATAAGTTCAATTTTTATGAGGGTACTAAAAGCCAATAGACATGCAGACGGGGATGAACATCACAAGCACTCGTCTATAAAAAAGTTACCTATATACTTTTCATAACACAAGGTACATAACTTGTTAATTTGTAAACTGTCACCCAGTCGCGAACGTAAACTGAATTATGATTTTTGTTCACCAAGAAGAGAAATATAAAAAATAGTCTAATAATAATGAAACCAACCATAACCTCAACATCCCACTGGACGTAAAGTAAACTTCAATCAATCAATCATAAACTCCACAAATAATACTGGCATAGAATAAATATATTTTACTTACTAATAGAAAACACTGGAGATCTTCTTCTTTCTAATTCACTTATTGGAATATTGACTGCAATAAGAGTTGATACCAAAAACGGACAGTCAGGTTGGAATCGTCTATGTATCATCTTAGGATTGTCTCCATTATTCCAATTTTGGTAACTGAATCCGCAAAATGTGCATCGACAATTATGTCCAACTCCAGTGTAATAAAAACCTGCATTCGCAAGCTTAATCGTTGAGACACCAAGAGTATTAGGTGCAGTGTAAAAAGACTCTAATCTTGCCCACTCAAATCGCATTTTTGCATGAAATGATAAATAAGGTCTCCTATTTATATATAAATCTAAACTGAATATATAAACTTGTATTCGTAGCAAATGATGTCCTAATCTCAAGGTATCATTACGACCAGATAGACATCTTTTTGGGACACAGTTTTTCAAAGGTTTAACACATAATGTATTTTTGCCATTTATACTTAAACAGTATACGGATAAAATCCTACTGAAGAAGTTGTCAAGGAGTAATTTCAAACCAATTATCCATTTAAAAAATCCCATTGTACAAACTAAAATGAATAAATCTCGTAGAAAATTGAAATCCATAGCTGCTAAGTATCAATATTTATCAGCCTCAATATCTAAAATATAAACAAATCAATATATTAACACATTTTGTGTAATTCTTCTACACAACCAACACCAAGAGATAAAAATTCACCTTTTATAAAAAGTTATAAAATAAGATTTAAGGTATGAAAAATAAGCATAAACCTAAGCAAAGTTTGATCTAAAGGAATGCAATAAATAAAGTCAACAGTAGTATACCGCTGGTCAATAGTCATAAATCGATTAAGCGAAATCAAATTCGGGTCTCAAACCAAAACCGGGGAAAACACATCAACTATATAAGGAAAACAACGAGACAACAGAAACACTGATCTGCTACGAAAACAAACGCCAACATACATAGAAACGGACTATTTGATAACAACTGCCATATATCTGACTTGGTACAGCACATTTTAAGAAAAAAGGTGGGCTGAACCTTGTTTTAATAATAAACTTGAGTATGTAAAAATTAAAATAACAAAAATACCGAACTCCGAAGAAAATTCAAAACGGAAAGTCCGTAATCAAATGGCAAAATCTAAAGCTCAAACATACCAAACGAATGGATAAGAACTGTCATATTCATATAATGCCAGATGAAAGCTGTAAATAGTGTATGTAGCGGAAGAAATGCATTCTGAAATACTAAATAGTGGTAATAGAAAAATAGTGAAATATTTTGGAGCATTTATTTTCATATTTTCCTGAAATAATTTTAAGTGTTACAATAGCCAGAAAATATGTAATTATAATATTTATATTTTATAAACAAGGAAAAATTGAATAACTGAAATCGGTATCTGATTCGGTTGTTCTTGCTACAGTGTATATTCTGTAAGAGTTACACAAAGTTCAATAACAAAAATACCGAACTCCGAGGGAAATTCAAACGGAAAGTCCGTAATCAAATGGCAAAATCAAAAGCTTAAACACATCAAACGAATGGATAACAACTGTCATATTCCTGACTTGGTGCAGGCATTTACCTATGTAGAAAATGGCGGATTAAACCTGGTTTTATAGCTAGCTAAACCTATCACTTGTATGACAGTCGCATAAAATTCCATTATATTGACAACGATGTGTAAACAAAACAAACAGACATAATAGGTAAAGATGTCAAAAATAGGGGTACAGCAATCAACGTTGTGTTATGATATTATTCACTAAAAAAACAAACAAATATGTCAACAAAGAAAAACAAAAAGGCATATAGACAAAGCAAGTTAGCAAAAACTAAAGATAAGAATACAAAAATTTACCATAGCACAATAACACAATGACGGGATGTATAAGTACCGATCCACGTCAAATGGATATTACCAAAAATAGACTAGACAGTAAACACGTTATTAAGATAATAAACAACGTCGGTACCTAGAATCTATATTTCAAAACCATCCTGTATTATTTCTGAAGTTGATACGGAATATTTATCAACAAGGTCTTGGTATCTTCCGATGAACTTTTTTTTAGAAAAAGGAGGAGACGTTCTTTGACATACCCCTGGTTCATGAACTTTCTGCTCAGACACTGGTAACGTTTTACAAAGTCTGAGTAGCAGCTGCAAGCTCTTGAATACTGAATGAGTTGGGAAATGTATATACCATATGCAGGTGAAGTTGGTATATTGCTACTAAGGTGGGGGAAATTGATAATTTCAAAATTAAAATCGTCTCGTTTGTCATATATTCTGGTACCGAGGTGACCGCTTATGTCAAATTCGAGGTATAAAGCTAAAAAAAGGGACAGAGGAAGCCGTGTCTGTTGTTTCTTTAATTTGTAGTTCTGGAGGATATATTAATGGAATCTTATCAGAAAAGTTTGGATTGTTAATAGAAAAGACATCATCAATATATCTGAATGTGAAATTAAATGAGCTGGCTTCTTTGATCTTCTGGTTTTTCACAAGTGTCTGATAAATAAACACTAAAAATGTTAAATGGTCAACACTTTGTTATTTTGAAGAGAGAAAATGATTTTTAATCAATAGGAAATACACAAGAAATATTTTCATTATCAAATATTACATTATGTTTTTCGGAAAGTTTCATATTTTCACTAAATATGTTTAAGGTTATTTGCATGATAATATTTCGGGCCGTAAGAAGGAGTTTTTAAAATCATATTTAGCAAGCAGCTTGTTTTTAGTTCTCATAATATTGCAAGTTTACAGCAAGTTCGTATAGAACAAACAATGAGCTGAATGTAACAAGTTATGTTGAATTATTAAGAAACCTAAAGGTCATCAACATGGAGAACCAACAACAGAATTAAACGAATGAGTTGAGAAAATAAAGACACTAAAACGGTGAACACATGTATGATGACGGTCTTTGAGCTTGTGAGTCTTTCTCCATTGTTTAAACTGAAGGATGATTTTATGGATCAATTGTGCACAACATTGAATATTAGAACACCAAAATGCATAAACTAAAGGCTTCTAAGAACCCTAATCGCTCAACTGGCTAACCACATCACATTAGCTATAAAACCAGGTTTAACATAACTTTCTTTGGAAAATGCCTGTACCAAGTCAAGAATATGCCAGTTGTTTTTTATTTGTTTCTTTGATTAATAGCGTTTAATTTTGTCCGTTTTTATGGACTTCCCCTTTTTGAATTTGGCTTGGAGTTCAGTATTTTTAATATTATTTTTTTTCGATATCTATTTACATTTTTTTTTATCATAATTTTATTGAGAAAGAATCAAATTGTTTGAATTAGTTAACATCTTGTAACGTCTGGCCCTTTTGAATAAAGCTGACTATACAGTATGGATTTTTCTCATTGTTCAGGGCTGTACAGTTATACATAGTTGCTTAAATCCTCATCATTTGGACTCTGTTGGATAGTTGTCTCATTGGCATTCATACCACCTATCCTTATTTAAATACTTATGTAAAATTAATTATAATGTAATTGATCATCGTACTTCTTTGTAGTACATGGAATGAAATGAGATTAATATGTAGATCTGTAATTTTTATTTATAGTCCGAATGAAATGAAATAGAATAATGAAATTTCTTAGAAATCGACCAGAAATCTGAAGTTTGACAAATCTATTCAGGTAAACAAAATGACTTGTGTTGTCGACTCAAAATTTCTTCACTGTACCTACATACCTGTCGATTAACCTCCGAATTCCCTTCGTTTTATCCACACACTTTTATATATTAGCAGTATTTGAAAGAAAACAATGTGTGTGTGTACGTTTTCTCTCAATAAAACACATAGTAAAATAATGTGTTACTAAAAATAAAGCAACCAGGAAGGATGAATCATACTGAGTGCGATCTCATCACGGGGTATTATCAAAACAATCCGATCACATTCATGTAGAACATGTAAAAGACAAATAAATACTATACATAACAAAATTTATGTTTTTTTCGAATGGTTTTTTGTCTCGCCTTGACGGAGTCAAAAAGCGAGACATCGGTATGATGTTTCCGGCGTCGGCGGCGTCAACAATGTATTAGTTTGTGATTAGGTCTAGTTCATGGTGAACCACTAGTGGTAGGTCAATGATATTTGGTATGCAGTTGTATTAGCATTGGCACATCTCATTACCATGGAGATTGTTTGGCCTCGCCCCCTCAGTCAAGGTCTATTGACTTTGAAACTTTGCTTAGTTTACATGTATTAGTTTGTGATTAGGTCAGTTTATGGGGAACCCCTAGTGGTAGGTCAATGATATTTGGTATGCAGTTGTATAAGCATTGGCATATCTCATTTCCATGTGGCCCGAGAACACAGTTATTTCGTAGTGCATTTCTTTAAGACAAAAATTTCAAATTAAAAAAATTGCACCTGCTCTATCTCAAAAAGATTTTTACAGTGTAGTGTACTACTATTGATACAAATAATATCAAAATTATAGAAACTTCTACCAGCTCTAACTCAAAATATTGACAATTCTGTGTTAAGGGGGGCTAAAATTCAGTTTGACAGCTTCAGACATTCTAATTTTTGACCTTTTTTAACTGGACCAAATCACTACTTAACATAAAGATTCAGCACCCAAATTTTTTTTACATGTAATTTCATCCCCTTACTTAATAATTCATGCATAAAACATCAAGAAATAAATTGGGAAAGTGTATAAAAAAAAATGCAAGTTATACACTGTTCACACTAGGGACTATATTTGTAGACAACGAAAACCAATTACTTATGTATAAGTTTGTGATTAGGTCAGTTTAAGGGGAACCGTTAGTGGTAGGTCAATGATAATTGGTGTGCAGTTGTATAAGCATTAGCACATCTCATTTCCATGGAGAATATTTGGTCCTTACCCCTCACTCATGGTCTATTGACTTTGAAACTTTTGCCTAGTTTACATGTATTAGTTTGTGATTAGGTCAGTTTAAGATGAACCACTAATGTTAAGTCAATGATATTCGGTATGCAAATGTATTGGCGTTTGCAAGTTTCATTTCTATGGAGATTATACAACCCCACCCCCTAATTATGGTTCATTGACTTTGAAACTTTTACATAGTTTACAAGTTAATGTTTGTGTTTAGGTTTGTTTTAAGGGAACGACTTATGAAAAGTCAATGGTATTTGGTTTGCAGTTGTATTAGCATTGGCAATTCTCATTTCCATGGAGATTGTTTAGCCCTGTACCTTCAATCATGGTTCATTGACTTTGAATATTTGCATAACTTACATCTTAAAGTATTACTATTTTAATTTCAACATTTGCATTATCAAAATAACAAATAGGCGAGACATATCTCTGTGTTAACAGTTTATTTAGGATGTATTAATACACATCCACGTTCATTTTCTATATAGAGATGGCTTTATCTATATATAACATTATACATATTTATTATAAGGTTAAATCCTAACTATCGCTCTGCCTGTCGATAATTTTATTTTGGCATTGCACAAGTAATGTCTTCTTTGACTGTCCATGGCGTTAAACACTAATTAAATCCCTGAGACGCGTTTTAGTTGATTTTTGTCTCTGATGCATGAATATTTATTATTTATTGTTTTTGGCTTTTAACTAGCTTTTAGTAACTGCTCAAACTCTCAAATCGTACTTTCGTGTTAATTTGACCTGTTGACACAATTTGTAAAAGTTAAAAGCACAAGGTTTATCATTTTCTATATAGAGATTGCTTTATCTTTATATAACATTATACATATTTATTATCAGGTTATATCCTAAATATACTACTTCCTGTGGCTACTTTTATTTTGGCATTACACAAGCCATGTCTTCTTTGACTGTCCATGGCGTTAAAACACTAAATCCCTAGGATGAGTTTTAGTTTATTATAGTCTGATGCATTATTTTTTTATTATTGTATTTTTTGGCTTTTAACTAGCTTTCAGTAAATGCGAGTACTCTATAATCGTACTTTCGTGTTAATTTGATCTGTTGACACAATTTTTAATGCATTTTTGTTATTCAATGTTTACTTATTTTGTGTTATATCTCGTCTCACTATTTTTAATACGTACCACCTTTGATAAGTATTTAGTATGACGATAAATTTTCACTTCTGTTCTCGTAGTATGAACAACATTTTTTTTTGTAAAATATGTTTCCGTAATCCTAACAACGAAATTATTGTATTTAAATTAACCTGTGTACGTTATTTTTTTACGCCATTTTGTTGAAGGTTATAGTTGTCTTTTTGACATTGTTTTACATTCCCCCCCCTTTTTTTAATTAATATTGTATTTATATTGTTTCATAGATCAAATTTATTCGTTCATCGTATGTTTACTTGTTTTTTGATAATATATCTTTTTGATTGAGTAAGCCATTTAAATTGATATTTGATAGTGTGTCTTTCTATGTTGTAATGTAACACTACTTTTTCATGTTAGGGTGAAGGATGGTGCCTGTTAAAATATGTAAACCTGCTGCATTTGTTTGCACCTGTCCTAAGTCAGGAACCTGTTGGTCAGTGGTTGTCGTTTGTTGATGTGGTTTATAAGTGTTTCTCGTTTCTCGTTCTTTTTTATATAGATTAGACCGTTTGTTTTCCTGTTTGAATTGTTTTACACTTGCCATTGTGTGGACATTTATAGCTTGCTGTTCGGTGTAAGCCAATGCTCCATGTTGAAGGCCGTACTTTGACCTATAATTGTTTACTTTTTACACATTGTGACTTGGATGGAGAGTTGTCTCATTGGCACTCATACCACATCTTCTCATTTTTATATACAGTACAGCTACAAAATAGGTTTTATTTAACGTATCTAAATTCAATTAACATGATTAAGTAAGTACTTCCCTCAGTATTGTTAGACATAGTTTATTGTTATTATCTCAAGTTGCCCCTTGTGTGCCAAATACTTTTGACAAATATATTGATAAAATCTTAAATTAACCGAAATGCACATCTTAAAATTTCACTATTTTGAGACAAAATGCATGTAAATACCTATAGTATAATATCCTATGTTGACCCTTTGACAGGTGATACAATTGAACATTAATCTCATGATAATCAAATTTCAATCCGGGGTTTTAGGTATCTACATTAATCATATAGTTATATATACATTGAGGTGACCAGCGGGAAAATGCCAAACAAAAAATATATGTAATAAAAAGCCCAATTCATTGTTTCCCTATATAAATCTATCAGAGATTGGATAAATCCGATAATCCATCAATAAGTCATAAGTATTTATTTCTCTAATGATTATCAAATGATTTGTCACTTTTGATAAACGAAAATCCCCTTCAAATGACTTCCACATTCCTGATTTCAATTTCTCCCTAGATGATTTCGAGCTTATAAAGGTTATAACCTTTTAGCTTATAACTTAACCAATCATCTCTTGAGATTATTAGCAACCATACGGTGATTAAATTGTTTTCCAGAAAGGGTTAAATTGCCAATCGATTAGAGAAACTTATGTATAATAATACAGAATCTTAAATAATATTTTCACGGCCATTATACTATTTTGTAAACGGAAATATCAATTTAGAACTGTTTTATCTTTAATTAAACTTCAACATAAATCAAATGTACAAAAAATCAAGTCTCAGATAGAGAAAGAAATAAAAAAACTTACCTGTAGTTACATATCAAAATAATAACCAAGTCTCTAGCACGAGAACTCAAGGACAACACCTACACGACATGAATAATAACTAAAAATAGAAAAGGGAAATTTCGCAACCTATTTTTATTCAAAATCGAGAATACTTTACTCATTTGGATTCTGTCAAAAGATAACAAAAGTTTTATAACATCTTTATGCAAATACCTAAACATAAGTTTGGAAGCTGGACAGAAATCACTTTACCAAATTAAAACACCTGCAGGTTTTGCAAACATTATACATCGAATCGAAAGTGACGTCACTGGGCATGCGCATTCAATTGGTGGGCAAGACCCATTCATAAAAATCATGGCCGATAAAACAAACACTTCATCGAGTTCTCTCAACAATTTCTCGACGTATGCACATTCCCTGTCAGTTGAAGCAAAGCAGAGATATTCCACAAAGTTTCTCAAAAATGGAGTTCAGACCGAAGCACTTGGCCCGACCTCACCTTTGGCTATATTTACCTTTCCTTGATTGACACGCCTTCCATCTACACAAAAGAGTCAACGAAAGCATACAAATCGTTAGATGCATACAAGTAAGTGTTAAACTATGTTTTTGAATTATTATTTTGATTTTAAACCAAGTTTTACTTGAAGAAAGTGCTTGAAAGCTTTTTTTGTAATCTCACCTTCTCAGGTAAACGGGTTGTTTATGTCACGTGGTGAATTCCATATTAGTCATCTTACCTGATCACAAAAGAAATGGAACTCTTTGTTAGAGAAGGTAAAAAAAGGCGAAGTTAGTAAATTTGAATTGTTTACATCTGTTTCCATGGGCTTTAAAAGTTTAATGATGTGCCAAATTTAGGATGTTATGCATCTTATGTATGTGTTTCTACTTATATTATTGAATTGAGCTTCGAGATATTTGTAAACTTTTAAATTATAGACAAATTTTCACAAAACAGTCGATTATGGTAGGTGCAAATTCACGTGGATCTTTTCTGTGCATAAGCATAAATTTCACCGAAAAAATTCCAAAGAAAGATAATAGATGTATCTTTTCAAAGCATAAATTTGCATCTCCGCCCCAGTGACATTTTTTTGGGAAAAATCTCCAAAATAGGCAATAATTTCATCGAAAAGAGAAAGTCGAGTACAACCTTTCAGGTTCAGGCGTGTTTGAATTGACTATTATGTCTTGAAAGCGTATAAAAGAAAAATAGTTGATACATCATCTCGCTTCAGATTTTATTATTTTTATATATTTAGGCTGTAGGTTGATACAAAAACATTAAAAATTTACAGTACTAAAAGATGACATATATGGGTCAAGTGAAATACCTTTCTAATGAGTCATAACAACAGAGTAGGTGTGTTCGAATAACATTTTTTTTTAATAAAAGTACTTAACGACAAACTTTTCTGGTGGGTCTTAAAAATGCATAACTTCAAAAAAACTTCATTTTTTGTGTGTGTTATCTAGGATAATAAGTCTTCAACCTCTGAATATTTTTAGTCTGCCCTTCCAAGAAATATTTAATTAAAATTTTAATTTTGTTTTTTGAACTTTCGAAAATTCCCCCTGACAACCGATCAGACAATAGTTTTTAAATTGACCAAATGCATACAAGTACTTTAAATGATGTTCAATAGCTAGTAAATACATTTGTCTTTTAAAATACAACTGGCATGTAAGGATCGTAATGATACTAAGTGGATAAATTTATTGGTTTTCAAGAGCTAAATTGACAGCGCGTCATCTCTACAATGGCTTCCATTTTTACGATTATAAATATAAGGTGGCGTAATGGAGAGATAATTTTGACGAAGTAGAATCCTGACTGTATATTCATGTTGTGACAATGCCAATCTCTGGATTTACAACTGTTTTATTAAACATTGTCAACTATTTTGAACGTATGTCCCTATGCATATGCAGTGTCATTAAATAAATGTACATGTACCCTTTATTTTTGACACACTAAATTTACCTTGAAATGTACATTTCTTTATTAATTGATAATTTAATTTTGTAGTGATTTATCTGTAAGTGTAGTGTTTGACTAAGTTTGATATATTTGAAGTAAAATACATAAAAATAAAACATTTTAAAAATATCTGTATAAAAATTAAAAAGGTGAAAAGATGGTTTCAAAAAGGTATATGTATACAGCATAGTCATTGTACTGAAGGCTTAGCTGAAGATATTTTGAATAATTTTATACATATACATTTATTAGTATCATACATGCATGTCTATAACTAAATGTTCTTTTGGCTTTATGTTCCTTATACTGATTTGTTCCCTTTTTCAGTTACGTAGTCAGTGAACATGTACAAGTGGTGTTTTCCCACCAAGTGGACGACGACTGTCCATTCATGGTCCTCAAGACAAAGGTCACACCGTCACAGACAGCTAGAAATAAACCACATAAACCATGGGTGTATTTGGAAAAGAGCAGCGGGACAGTATACTGTGCTCACTGTACCTGTATGGCAGGTATGTATACTGTACGACTCGATTTTGACCCAGAGTTCTAATGTTCTTATATATATGTAAATTGAGGTAAATTATATGGCCTTCCAAATACCGTTTAGATTTCTAACATCACTGAAGAGACATTAATTGTTGAAATCCGGATATGGTGTACAAATTTTTGCACCTCATGTTTGCGGTATACCATCTTTTCCGCAATTTTGTTGTTTTCTGTTTGGTATAAAATTAATAATTAAGATCCATTTTGTTACATCTTGTGATACGTTTATTTGGCAATCGCCATGGCAGTCAGCAGGGTTTAAGAACATCAGTTTTTCGACCTGTTAGTCAAATGCGTTTTGTTAAAATATACTTTTTCACTTTTTGGTCTTTTGGAAAATGTTGTTTGTGCTGTATTTAGACCCCTCTATCAAGAAATTTGTTTTGCATGCACACGTATAAAAATTGCTGTTTTTATCCAACGCAATCATATGTTTGAACGCTGTTTTCAATTTAGACTTGTATATATATATAAGAACATCTGAACCAGTGACAACTCAACGACAGATTTTATCAATCGGATCACCAGTGATATATGGTGATACAAGGCTGAAAACACATTCTGTATATATAATTCGTCTAAATATCAGCCCAACAATGTTAGATCTGCAAATTTGCGGAAGCAAATATTTTGTTCTTCCCTGGCCGGGATTCGAACTCATGCTACTGAGATATCGTGGCACCAAATCGCCTTGCACTATGCCCGGCGCGCTAGACCACCCGTCCACCTAGGCTCGATAAAAAATCAAGCTTCCGGTGGCCGGGTGTTACCTTTCCTCGTCAGTTTTTATCTAGCGTCGTAACACAGTACATGATATATAAGGCATGAAGATGGAATATTACATATAAAGTGCCTAGAAAATCAACCTTACGATGTTAGAGTATATCTGATTCTTTACTTCCTCCCCAAGCGGGGCTTGAACCTGCACTTTATTTCTCTCTTCTACGACAACACCGCCTAGCATTGCGTAGACGCCTTATCCCCTACTCTAACTATAGCTGATAAAAATCAGCTTTCGTTTCGGGAGGTGTTACCTTCTCGTAGGAATTAAACATATATATATATATATATATAAATATATTATGTGTTTTAAATATTGAAATAAAAATAAGGAGATGTGGTACGATTGCCAATTAGACAACTATCCACAAAAGTTCAATTAAATTGGATGTAAGCAGTTATAGGCAACCCTACAGTCTTCAACAATGAGACAAACCCATATCGTATGGTCGGCTGTATAAGGCCCTGACATGAAAAATATGAAACAATTCCGTTGATATATTACATTTAGTTTCATTAGCACAGATACATTGTTCAAAATGTCATGTAACAAAAATTTCTTCATTTACAAGTCAGGGGAAGTATGCAGTCATGTTGGGGCAATTCTGTTCAAGGTGGAAATGGTTGTAAAAATTGGAATCACACAAACTAACTCAACCAGTAAAGCTTCTCCGTGGAATAACAGATTTAGGAAAGCGGTATATTTTTACACATCTATTCAGGTATAAAGTTTAACATGTATTGGTAAAGTTATACAATATGACTCAGGAACAAATAGTGCATTTAGTTTATCCTGTCTTCGAATTTATCAGTATATTAATAGGATTATAAAAAAAAAATAAAGATATATGTTAAGTAGGAGACAAGTCAATCTTTTATGTTAACTGAAATAAAAAGAAAAATCAATATGTCAGTCATTTGAAATGTTTATGTGAGGAGATTCACAAAATACAGAAGAAGTGTTAATGGCATCTGCTAACAACAGATTTAGATGACATGTAAGCAAAATGATTAATTTTGTATGTTACTATTTAAATGTGTATAGCTATACAGTATATTCAATGTATGGTTAATTTTCAACACCAAATTTAACTAATTGATTTATTTTTATTGTCAGGTTACTCCAACTACTGTCACAGACATTTTCCAGCATATAAAGGGTAGACGGACAAAAGATATCGCAAGTATTAAAGCCAATGGAGCAGCACCTCTCACTCCCCAGGAAGTCCTAGATGAACTGTATGGTATTGCACCTTACGCTGCCTTTGTTTACTTCAATTATGACACCAAGTATAGATAATCCACCTGCCTCAAATACAACTGAATGCAAGTACCCTCCATTGCTGTCAACACTTCAACAGACAGATAACAACGACATAAATGGCCTTCGTGATAAAACCATAGATTCGTATACTGTTTCACAATACTAGGCAGAAAATTTAGATGTAGCAACCAGAAATCAAGCCATCAGTTCCTTATGGTATCAACAGCATCAAAAGCTCATAATGTGCTAGTTCGTAAAGCAACAACACCTGCAGCCAACCTTGTCAAAAGGATAGCTGGTTATTCGACATATGACCTTTAAAAAAACAGTCAGTCAAATGGGGCGTAGACCACGAAGATGAATGTAGACAGGTATACACAAATCACCAATAGAACCACCACCTAGACCTAATATGTTCTCCGTGTGGTTTCTATATACACACAATTCATTCCTAGGAGTCAGCCCTGATGGCATTGTGAACTGTAAGTCCTGTGGCAGAGGTACAATAGAGGTCAAATGTTCTTTTAAACGCTGATATAACTGTACCACAAGCTGCACAGAGTAACAAAAACTTCTGTCTCGACGAAAATTTAACCCTGAAGACCAGCCACAGATATTTCACGCTAGTCCAGATGCAGATGTTCATCACCAACTGCCAGTATTGGGACTTTGTTGTGTATACCAAATGCCAGCAAGAAGCAAGCATGGTAATAGTGTGAGTCCCAATTGATCTAGACTTTTGCCACAAGTTGATACAAAAGTGTGAGGACTTTTTTAAAACTTCGTTATACGTGAACTTCTCATCAGATAACTTGAAAATGAGCCAACAACAAACAACAATGCTAATGAGAAATCATGGTGTATTTGGTGACTAATGTCCTTAAGAATGGTTTAGATTCTTTAGATGTAACTCGAATATCTTCGAGGTTTTTTGGTATGCGGTAAGCCATGACGGGAGGTGATGGAAAAATCTCTTTTAAGGACAACTCAGACAACAACTTAAATCAAGAGGTTATAAGAACAAAAACATTTCAGACGCTTTCGGTAAAGCAAAAGAAAAAGACAGAACAAACCTACTTGAATACAAAGAAAAGACGGCCCAGACAAATAAAATTCCGTTTGTTGTCAGCTTTCATCCTGACCTGACAAATCTTTCATCTATTGTCCACAAACACTGGCGTCTTATTGAAAATGATCCTTCCTTTAAAAGAGATTTTTCCATCACCTCCCGTCATGGCTTACCGCACACCCAAAAACCTCAAAGATATTCAAGTAACATCTAAAGTATCTTAACAAGAGACATCGACAATAGGGGGTTATAAACCATGCGGAAGAGGCAATTGTAAGTGCTGCATAGTCGCCAATATTGAAACCCAATTAGTCAGCACAGTCACAAAAAATAAATACAACATATTTATTACATCCAATTGCAAAACGCAAAACTGTATTTATGTTCTAACGTGTGGAACTTGCAAGTTGCAATATGTTGGTGAAACAGAAACACCATTCAACATCCGACTGAATAACCATCGGTCATTTTATACAAAGGAAAGAAACAGCCCAATCACAAGACATCTTTTAAGAAAAGGGCATGATTTTGAAAACGTCACATTTCAAATCATTGAGAGAAACCAAAATTGGGACAAGGAAGACAAAAGAGAGATAGATTTTGGATGCACCAGTTACGGACTCATGAACCTGATGGACTCAATGAGAGAAATGAGAAAAGATTTAAAAACAATCAAAATAATAATCTTGAAATCATACAATTTATAGAATATCAATAAATATGTTAAACTTTTATTCCAACTTTGTGTCATTTAAGGATGTATTCTTCTGACGTTTCAGTCTCGTTGAAAACTCGTTCTGGAATTATTTCCAAAACATGCGATACAAGTGGAAAATATCAACGAATTTTAAAAATGTTATAATTAAACTCAACTCTGTGAAAAAATTGTGTATTTACAATGAGTAGTTTTTGAGTAATCAATTTTTCAAATTTTACGACCAATCAAGTCAGTCTTTTTGGCCAAAATTTTGAGAAAATGGATGAGGGGTACAAAAATTGATTTTACCAGAAACTTGTACATCCCATATCACTTTTTTCTTTTCAAATTTCTTAGATATGTATTTTTTCAATCATTTATAACAAAAAAATTGAAATAATATGCATTTTGTTCTTAAAACTGAGAAAAATCACAAATTTACAAAATTGACAGCATGGTAAATTTGATACAAAAAAGCATCAACATATGATAAAAACTTTCTTATATTAACACCTACCCATAGTTTTTTTTAGTTAAATTTATTCAAATTGTTCCACTTCATCTTTATTGAAAGTATGAAAAAAAGTTAAATTGTGGAACTGTGATTTTTTTTCACGATAATAGCCCAAAAATAGGTAAAAATTGATGAAAAATGAGATAATCATCAAAATTGGTACTTTCAAAGGGCCGTAGCAAAAAAAAAAGAAGTGCACCACCATAAGAATTTGTCTTCACCAATTATGTTTTTACAGTCATATAAACCCAAAAATCAAGTTAAGAAAAAAAGTTTAATTCTAGAAAATTTTGGCTCCTCAGAGGTGTACATCCTTAAGCTACAAAAATATTCTTTTGTCGTGCATCCGATTTCACCTTGATAAATGCACACGCCTGATGAAGCTAGTTTGTCTAACAAAGTATTGCGTATATCTAATTAAAATCTAATAGAACTTTTTAATGTATCAATTAGCGTGTTTAAGTTATATTCTTAGACATTTATATAATTTTAATTCAGTAACTGTATCAGTTTATTTTCACAAGCTGATCCACGCTTAAATAGACTGGATGTTGATTGTTGCTAATTTTAGACATTATATATATATATATATATATGTATTGAGAAAATAGACATACATGTAACAATTAAAAATTGCATTATCAATAGCTGGATTGCACACTAAAAAATGTAAGAATTATTGAAAAATGAAAACTATTTTAATCAATATAACATGTATAACAACACATATCTATAATAAAGAAAATTTGGAAATAATTTTGCTCAAAGTTTTTGAATTTAATAAGAATACAGTTTGTTAATATGAACATTTTCATATATATTTTGTAACTGGCATTTTCTTTCATGTAGAATCAACAGAAGTTCTTGGTAATGCACCATTAATGCAAAATATTATGCTCATGTTTGAAAACCATAGACTTGTACATTGTATGACATAAATTATTTTGTAATACATCATTGTATGAAATAAATTATTTTGTAACAAATTTTTATATTCATTAAAGTCTGTTGAATTTGCAATAAGTAACTCGCTTTTATCAAAAAACTATATATACAAGTCTTTAAAAGAGTTTTTTAAGACGAAAGTTTGGGTTGGAGATTACAAATTGCTGAGCAAATGGTAACAATGCTATCTGCATGAGGAACCATACACATACTCATGTTAGAACTAAGTATTTTAATCTCTGGATTGCTCTCTCAACATGGATTCTGACATGTGCTATTTTTACGGGTCTGCTCTACTTCGTTGTCACTAAGTTGTTGTTAAATGCTGGTATAACTAGTGTGGAACTTTTGTTATCAAGTTCTTCTGATATATAAAAAAAAACACGGTCTGCCAATATCTGATCTCCATGCTGAATTTTTTACAGATAACCACTAAGTTGTGTTATTACATTGTCAGATGTCCTACCACCAAATGCCTTTGACACAAATGAAATGGCTTCTGTTGTTGTAATTGAAACTGGAAAATTAATTGTATTATTGTGCTTATAGTTTGATCTTGTCTGAGCTCTATCAGTTAATTGGCCTGGTCGCTGAATAAAAACTTCAAAACAGTCAATTATACTGAAGTACCTTCGGTATGATTGTTTAAAAACAGATGGCATATTGCTTACAAGATATTCCTTATCAGGCCATTGAATCAAAAAGGATAGTTTGCTAGCTAATTTCGGAAGTCCTTGGTTCAGAATGTCTGACACTGTTGTTTTCGATACACTGAAATGGTATACAAGATCTTCATGTTGAAAGTTGAGTCTCAACATCATAAGAAGGCATAGCAGAACACTTGTTGGTGACATTATTTTACATGATGGTAATATACATGAACAAAATGACAACAACCATATGAATAGTGCTTTTGAATGCACACCTATGTAGAACTGTATTTTTCGATTACTGGCAATAACGAGGATTTCAAATTTGCTGACTGATGTTTACCTTTAAGTTGGTGTTTTCTGTCTGAAGGCGACCTTATTCAGCATACAGTTGTTCGTTTTCTATTCTTAGTGAGGCAATCTTGTTGATGCAAGCATCATGTTGGTTGTTATGTAACTTCACTGAAAAAAAAGAGAAAATTTATTAATGTGAAAAAATGTTTTGTTATACATTAGTTGTTAAACATTCTTCAATAAATAAATCTTAGTAAAATGTATAGTCATCCATTACCATTATATTTCTTTACATCATTTTATTAAAGAAAAAAGATCCTGCTGTAACTTCAGATACTGATTTTAGTTGATGAAATCTTTGAACCATGAACATGCTAATTATATATAAGTGACATTTTTCGATGGTTTTTTCACGGTTTTTCAACATTCAAAATCCAACTCACTTTTATCCAACAAGTGACACAAAAATAGGTTGGCTTGGTGCTTATTAAGCAATTAATAACAGATGTTGTTTTAAGAAAGGTATAGTGACCCTGTATATAATGTTTACTATAATTTTCATATAATACTTTTTAATGTTATATGTAAAATAATAAATAAATTCAGAAAAAAAAATAATGGGATTCATCATAAAAATTCCCCTTTACTTTTCAACTTCCGATTATAAACTTCAATAAAAAAATAATGGTAATTTGAAAAAGGCTTATTGCTGGTTGCGCCACATCTGGTTCCTTCTTGAACTATTTCTATTATACGTTTGCCATGTTTCTAAGTTGTATTTACATTTTTTCCTTCTAGTAAACATCATACTTACAGTTTTTACTAGGAGAAATTTAAAACCCAATGAAGAGCATAATTGACACAATTTGTCTAGTCTTTCTGTTAAATCAAAGTACATGCACCTGATTTCCATATAGCACCGTCACCTGCAAATTGTACAATTTCACAATCGTGTTAAAAAATTGATAAATAATTGACTACGATATTAAATAAAGCAGAATTATACAACTCATTTGAAGGGAACCATTCCTAGTATGTTCAACAACTACACAATAAAAAAAAGCAGACATACGACCGCATATTCAACTTGCTGAAGACTACTTGTCAACAACATCATCTCTAACTAGCACCACATATCTTCTTTACTGACGTTGATACAGCAACCTGTTATTCCGCAGGGTTTATTTGAGTTTATGCGATATTTATAGTAAAACCTTCATATTACCGACTTTCAACATGTATTCAATCATGATAAGAAAAGCATGTAAGGCATTATAGCGTATGCACTCTTGTTTATCAATTTTCTTGTGCTTAATTTAAAGATTGTTTTTGTATAATACTATTAATATGCACTACACGCAATTTAAAAACATTTTCCTGTACATACTCTCAACCTTTTTTAGTGTATTTGTCCACCAGTGCTTATATTATTGATCATCAGTGATTATATTGTTAATAATTTTATATGATTGTAAAATAGTTTCGTCGTTAATCACTGTTTTGCATATTAGTGCTCTTAAATGAAATAATTTTTTTTCCGATTTGGGGATTTTTTTTAACTATGAATCCATCAAATCTTTCAGAATTTAATTTGAGCTGGATTCACTCAGTTTACAGGTACATTTCAATAATCCCTATTACAAAAAAAATTACGTTTCTCAAATAAGAAATTTTTAAACTGTATACAAAAATATAGAATGTTGAAGAAACGTGAACACACCTTTTCAATAGTCTTTGTATTTATCGACTTTAATGCACCGACCTAACATACGACTATATTATATATCATTTGAAGACTTACAACCTATACTTTCTGTATTGTCGTTGATAATTCGTCCGGCGCAATGTCCGTTAAATCAAAGTCAAGGGAAGAAAATAAACATTTTTAGTTCCGCCTTAGAAAAAGAAAGTATCATACAAAACCAGAAAGGGTCATTTTGCTTAATTCTTGCAAAATTTGGAGAGTTCTTGATCGTCCTTTGTATGATATTAACGAACCAAAAATAATTCTATTGGTGTTTTGAGTGTAAGATATTTTATGAAGCTGAATCTCGTTCCATATTCTAATGAGAAAAATGTTTGCACCATGCGGTTTTAATTCACAAATCCCTATAATTGTATATTTTAGCACATTGTTGAGTGTTAAAAATATCCTTCATCCTCGGTGTAAGTTATTGTCCGATTTTTTACGTTTAGATGTAGCGTTCTGTGGACTATTCATTTTTTTTTGCTTTGGTACTGGTATTATCTTTGTTACTTCGTTTAACGTTTTTAGATGGTCCTCTTGTTATCTTCTTTCTTTTTTCAACCAATGAAAGGATATTCAGCTTGATTAAATATCAATGATCAATTTAATCACAACGGGACTAATGTTAATTTATAAAAGACATTGATTGCAGTAATGAAATGAAAATAACTAATTATAAGATACAAAGCATTATTTATCGGAAAATTGTTATCTTACTTGAGCTTTTTGAATACGGTTCTGGGATTTCCTTTAAAATCTGCTTTTTGGAAAAAATTGCTACATTTTTTATAATCAAATTAAAATATAGTCCGTAATCTCTTTTGAAAACATTAACTATTTTCATATGTTTTCTTAGTTCCGACAAGCACAAATTACATTACAGTGTCTGTTATTACTAAAAGTTTTGATTTTCTTCATCGATGACTTAATACAATGCACAATGCACAAATTTCGATGCAGTTAATAAACCTAGAAATCAAATTTTCTCATCTGTATAACTCTAGAGAATTTTTATTTATCAATTTATTAATGTTTCTAACATAAAAATATTAACTTTTTAGGCTGACTATAGATATAAAAGTCATTGATTTATTTATTTCTATAATTTTAATTATGAAGTTAAAAATCAAATGATAAGAAAATTCGAAAGAGATTTGAGCATGCAATAACAATAAATACTGAGAATGACGATGGATGGTTATTTAACTTCCAGTAGCTTATTCAATTCTTAGTCGGGACAGACGAGAAAAAGTTAATGCAATATGAATATAAACCCTATTTTGAACCTTACCGACACACTGAGCCGAAGTTTTAACATTAAAGAGATAACAGTCTACAGGAAGACATGTCAATCTAGACGAACACATTATTCTGACTCCGAGTCAACCAATCTTCTTTGTTCTCTCTCCTCGTTGTAACTAGCTATGTAGAGAAGCAGCAAATACAATTGTTTTAACTTGACAGCCAGGGATCGAAAGCACGATACCACGAGACCACCGAGGCGGTTTAATACATATTGAAATATCATTGAAGATTCAACCCCTATATTACCACCCACGAAAGTTTGATTACATCATGGTTTATATCCTTTAACTTTTTAAAAATATTTTTAAGAATTAAATTACTATACAGCAACCCCTTAACGTTGTTGTTATAACTGCTTTCACATTTTTAAGAATTGTGCTTCTTCAATCTAATACCGGTGTTGACTACATTCAATTGCCTAACTTATAGCTGCTAAACAGCTGTATTTGTGTAGATGGTGGTATTTGGGTAACTGTATATGTAGTTATTATCGGTCGTTGAACTACTAATAGGTGTGATTGTGTTCTTTTAAAGATGTCAAAAAATTCCTTTGCACTAAATAAAGGATTTTATTTGGTTTAAGCTGATTGGCATTTGAACCACAAACATATATTTCAGTTTTCACTCATGTTTATCCTTTTCAGTGGAATTTTCTTGAAAAGGCCGCTTTTTATCTAAATTACATCATTTATTTTAATGTGCGTTTGATAAGTTACTGTTAATCTCTGTTCTAAAAGTTTTCCAAATTTTCATACATTGTTTAGTTATTCAGAAGACAAAATTATGCAAAAATGTTGACATCTTTGAAAATAAGAAATTATCCGTTCTTGACCTTTGATCTTGATTTGACGGAAATATACTGTAATAATATGTGACGATTGGAAAAAAACATAGTACAGATGATATGCTTTTAAATGATATGAGATTTAGTCGTAGGTGCACTAAAAATAAACTCGTATGATTAATGTCACTCGCCTACCTAGAATAGACGAGGTACATTAACATACAAAAGCACATCTTTAATGCACTCACATGA